GATTTATTAGCTAGTTCGAGCCCTATATAAATTAAAATGTAGCCCCCTCTTTTAGTTCGAAACTTTATTGCTAGTCCTTAAAGGACTAAGCCACACCCCTATTAATACTAATTTTTATCTTTTAATTAATAATACTTTAGGGGCTATTATAATTGTTGTCGGGTGGGTTCATGTCCCCACCTCCCTTGTCTTGTCGTATGGGTCCATACCCTCACACCCTTCCTATATTTCTAGCCCTCCATAATTCTTTTCCCTTTCTAGTCTTTTCTCCATAGCATATACATCTACATATTTGCCCTCTAGAGCCCTCTAGTCCAAGAAGTTATAAACCTTCTAACGATACCGAATCGCATCGCTTTCGCTGCCTTCGCGCGCATCTAAGAAATCAATCAAGCCGCCGTTGCATCGTATAATCGTTACGTACACGCCGCATTACAACAAACCAACCGCGATTCGCTACAAGGAATAAAGATTCTCGGTAACTTGGCGACCCTCTACCTACAAACTACGAGTTCGACTTCGACCTGGATCTCAATTTCGACCCCGCCCGTTAATTTAGTAAACTTTCTTATTAACTTTACCTATTAGTACGATATTATAGAATAAAATAGTCTTCCCCTGGGACGGAGCCAAATCCCCGGGGAGACAGTAAAGCGCCCAGGAATCCACATTGCTCCGGGAGGTCCACTTTTCCCGGCCATCCCCCGGCCCCGCTCCCGCTTCCAATCCTTCTTATCGCTTCCAATCCTTCTTATCGCTTCCAATCTTTCTTATCGCTTCCAATCCCTCTTATCGCTTCCAATTCCCCTCGTCGCATTCAATCCCCCTCATCGCATTCAATCTTAGTCATTTAGAGGACTTTGTCATTTGGAGGACTTTGTCATTTGGAGGATCTAGTCATTTGGAGGACTTGGTTATTTGGCCTCTTATCGCTTCCAATCCCTCTTATCGCTTCCAATTCCCCTCGTCGCACTCAATCCCCCTCATCACATTCAATCTTGGTCATTTGGAGGACTTGGTAATTTGGCCTCTTATCGCTTCCAATTCCTCTTATCGCTCCCAATTCCCCTCGTCGCATTCAATCTTAATCATTTGGAGGACTTTGTCATTTGGAGGATTTAGCCATTTGGATAACTCATTTGGAGGATTTGGTCATTTCTAGGGTTAGGGGATTTGCTCTTATCGCTCTCAATTCCTCTTATCGCACGGTCGCATTGTAAACCACGGTCGCATCGTAAAATCTAGTTACAATGCGGATTCTAACCTTATTTCACGCTGCATCTCTTAGCGAAGGATAGAGGAGAATGAGACGAATTTGCTCTATCTAATGACGTTTTTTTTTCATTTTGGTGCACCTCAATGACATTGAGTTATCTCAATCCGAAGGCGTTGAAATGTAGCATAGTGTGCATTGCTATTGAGACCGTGTCTTGATGATTTCCTAATTGGGCATGGAGTAGAGACCCTGGCTCCGCAATCAATTGCATTCTGGCCTATTATAGACAGAACCGCCGCGCCTTCCTCGCGTCGCTTCGATGTAGGGCCCATAGCACCACGACCTTTAGTGTGGATCTCCCATGACACTTTGGGCCCCGACATCGAATCTCCTGGTTGAAGGCATGGGCGCTTCAATTAACTAATAATCTTTTTAGTAAAGCCTATAGCTAATAAAAGACTTAATTCCTATTGCTTCTTATTAAGTAATTTATCCGCTAAAGTCTAATAGCCTTAAAGGCAAAATATTCAAAACATTCCAATCTAGAAAGACGACGTTATCTACGATTCTAAATATATATACAATATATTCAACTAACTAAAATAGTTTATAGCTACTAGCCGTACTAATCCCTCTTACCCTTAGGGATAGCTTTGAAATATATTATTACTATATTAATACTATCCAATTAACCCTACCAATAACTTTAAGTATTAACGTTAGGGTACGTATTAAACACGTACTATACTTGCCAACCACACCAATCAACTTTATATTAACAAGCGGTCTTCTCGATAACGGTATAGAGTAGTATATACGGTCAAATCGAATCCAATTAGGGAAGGTGGAAGTCCAGTGCTTATTTTAAGGTAGCCTGGTTTGTATTCTAGTATATTAACCCCAGGACTTTGTCTAGTAAAGAGACCAAGCTAAATTTGCCTTGCTTGGCTCTATTAATTATTCAACAATGTATCGCCGCCTTATGTATACAGGAAAGGAGTAGGTGTTGAAAGCCTATAAAGACGCCAAGATACTAGTTCGGAACGCTGAGAACCACGTCTGCGAGTTATGTAGGGCCCTGCTAGGGGCGCACTAGTTGTTTGGCTCCGGGCGCACTAGTTGTTTGGCTCCGGGCGCACTAATACCCCTGGGGGTTAGGGTTCTCTATGGTCAGAATCTGGGTCATGTAATTTAGTGATACAGTCCATGGTGTTAATAGTCGTAAAAATGAGGCTCGTGCCCGCCAGCCGCCCAACCTAGCCGCTCAGACCTAGCCGCTCAGACCCAGTTGTACGTGCTAGATATGTGAACTTGGCGATTTTGAACTTCCACCCTTTTAAAATTGCCTCCATTGCTAAATAATAACGAAATCAAGCGCTAATAAGATTAATCGAACTATAAAGAGCGCGCGTATACTGTTGTGTAGTTAATATTATAAATTAGTTATTTGTAGCGATCGAGATCTCATTTGACGATGATAGCGACGAGTTAAGCGATAGCGATAACGAGGACTTCTTTGACTTTTAAGATCTCCCTCCTATATTTGTACGCGTTCGTTTACCTCCCGATAAGCCCTCTTAGTCTTTTTAGCCCTTTGAACCTCCCTAGCCTTTTGAACTTCCTTAGCTTTTTAAGCCCGCTAGCGTTGCGCTACTTCGTTTTCGATTTGGCGATAATAATGAGTATTATGAGGAGTTAGAAGAGTTTAGTTATATTTTCGATAATCCTCTTAGCGGCCTTATAAATAGTTATTAGATTATTTAAGAGTATTAAAATTAACGAATTTGTAAACTTCTATAGCTAAGTAATTATTAAAGAGAATAGGAGGAATAAAATCGATGGCGAGTATATTCGATACGAGTTCTTTTTGTAATCGATATAGTAAATTTCGTCCTTTTAGATTAATTGGTCTACGTAAGATAGTTATTAGGAAATATAGTTATGAGTAGCGTACTTACGTTAAAAAGAGTAAAAAATATAGTTGGATATTTCGATTAAATAGGGAACGATAGTATTAAGTTTATAATTACCCTCCTTTGAATTTAATTACCTATCCTTAATTCAGTAAGCTTAGTCTTATAAACGAGGTATAAGAAGTTATTGAAATTGCTTTTCGCTATAGTATTATTCGAATTAGAGAGATTGGTACTATAATCGATAAGTAGTTCGAAGATAATTTTCTTACGAAGAAGGATATATATAATATAAGAATACGCTTGTATATAGAGTTTCTTAATGGTTATAAACCGATTATTACGTTTATTCGTAATGTTAATATTAATAATATCCTATATTAAGCTATTTACGATAATATAATAATAAGCCTTATAATTAGTCTCCCTATCTTTCTATCTATTTAATTAACGTTTTTCTAATAGGATAAATAATTTATTGTATTTTTGTAGTTGATTTTAGCCGTTATAAAGATAATTAAGCGTTATTTAGAAGTATTAAATATAAATAATACGTATTCAATTAATTATTACCGCTTCCCCCTTATGTAAATTATTAGTACGATTAACGTTAGTACGGTTTTTAATTCCGTCTTTAGCCTTATTAATATTAAAAGGGAAGAAACCTTTACCTTTTTATTATAGGGTATTAAAGACCTTCGAAACCGCTATAATATCCCTAAACTTAGTATTATTATTATTAATTATAGTAAAGAGATAAAGGCGGCTATTTTAGAAATATTCTTTAAAATTTAATAATAATTCTATATTTTTTATATTTATAAGAACATATTATTAAATGGTAAGAAGAAGTGGAACAAAAAGAAAGACGACGATAATTTTGACGATAAGGAGTTCTTATAAGACGAAGAGGAGGAACATAAGAATAAAGGAAATAAGGAATTTAATATTATAAATTGAATAATATTGCGTAGTACCCGTTTAAAGGTTATTTAAATTATAGGTAATAACGATTCTATTATTAATAGAAGGTTATTCCCTATATTTTAATAGGTATATTCGAAATGTAGAAAGTTATTATATATTTGAAGATTGAGTTAGAGTTTTGGGATATTTAGTAAATATTTAAGGAGTTTTTAAATTAACTTTTAATTTTATATTACTTCTAGAAAGTTTAGATACATATTAAAAAGTAATAAGTACATTATTTTATTAATAGATATTTCAATTTTAGTATTATTATTACCTCTCCTATAGAATTAATTAATATAAATATTAAAAGTTATATCCTTATAAGGCGGTTAGACTTTTAGGGTTTAATTAGTACCGTATAAAAGATATTTATAGAATAATATAAGGTTTAGGAATATACGGCAGTTAACGAGGAAACGAGAATTAGGAGGGATTTTATAGGGCGACCTTATATAGGGAATGTGGCTGCATGGGTTTCGTACAAGTGCTCAGATCTTTTTATTCGTGAGTATTAATATGCTTAAATCGCCTTCGATCGAAAGTAGAAGGATCCTAATATAGATTTCTATTATTTTAACGTAAATAATCATAATACTACTGAATAGTATAGTATCCCTTACTATTACAATATTTATAATTTCCTTATTATCGATCGACCCCTTTATTTTAATTATATTTATAAGTATTGGTACTTCTAGAGATATTTCGATAACGACGACCCTTATATTTATATTTTAGAGCCCAAGGTTGCTAAGTGACTTCGAGGCCGCCTTAAAGTAAATATAATAGTTACTATATTAGCCGAGCACGCCGTCCCCCTTACTCCTAAGAAAACTAAAAAGATAAAGAAGGGTAAAGAAAAAGATAAATAGAAGAAGGATAAATAGAAGGATAAATAGATGGGTAAAGAAAAGGGTAAAAAGAAGGTTACAAAGACTAAAAAGGCTAAGAAGCTACTTCTACCCAAGGGTAATACCCTACGATTGAAATAGAGTATGCGCCGCTACTTTTCTTACTAGGAGGACGATTCCGATAACGAGGAATTCCCTATATAGGTATAATATATTACAATATATTCTTCTATAGCGGAGAGGGCCGAGGACGAATTAGATGGCCAATTTCTGAATTTAATCGACCTTTTAGCGATAGGATTTAGTAATAACAATAAGGAGGAGGAGGCAATTAATAAGGATAAAGAAGAGGAAGCGGTTAATAAAAATAAAGAGGATGAGAGAGAAGGAGATTCATTTAATCCATTTGCTTCCTCCGATAAAGACGAACCTCCTGCCCGTAAGAAGACTATTATAATACGTTCGCCTGCCCTGGAGCCAATTATAAAGAGGATAGAGAGTAGTAGAATTTGTAGACCGACTACTAGAGTACTAGGCTTATAAGTAGGCTCAAAAACGATAATTCCAATAATTTGTCTATTATTATATATATAAACCCTCTAGAGCACTCTAGACCTTTAATACACTCCAAACCTCTAGTGCACTTTAATACTATAGCGTATTATTTACAAATATTATTCAAGATAGTCTGGAATTGATGTACATTAATTTGTATAGAGATTTCTATGGAGTACAATATTTTAATTGATTCTGTGATCTTTATTAACTAGCGATGATGATGTTGTGTTGTCGGGTGGGTTCATGTCACTACTCTTCCCTTGTCTTGTCGTGTGGGTCTATGCCCTTATACCCTTCCTGTATTTCTAGCCTTCCATATTCTTTTTCCCTTTCTAGTCTTCTCCATAGCATATATATCTATATATCGTTTTGCCCTCTAGTCTAAGAGGTTATGAGCCCTCTGATCGCGTATCGCATCGCTGCTGCTGCGCGTATCTAATAAGAATTAATTACGACGTCGTTATACTATACTTGCGATCTAGCCCGCCGATAACGCTATTCTTATCGACTTTAGCTACGATACGATAGAGTATAATACGATAGTAACATTAGTTCCCCTTAAGGGTAAATCCAATTTTAATATTTAGGCCTACGCTTTAAAGGTTTAATTAGCTTCCCTTAATTTTAAGCTATATATTACCGCAATTATCCCTACGCTTAAGGTTAAGGCTATTACGAAGATTGAGGACGAGAACGCGCTAGTTACATATCATATAGATTACGTTAAGCTTATAGATATTATTTATTTAATTATTAATAATAATAATATCTAGTCTATTTTAATAATTAATGGCTGGGACGAAAATGATAACGATTTGAAGTACTTATTCGATTTAATCCGTAATAGTATTTCTAGTGTTACTAACGAAGCTAAGAACGACGTTTTCGATGAGTATCAAACCCTCAAGCAAGCTTCCTTTACTTCCCTAGAATCTTTCTTTATGCGCTACTAAACCTTGCGCAAATACATCAAGGATATTAATTATATTATTAACAATAAAGTCGAATTAACGAGTTTTTTTAACCTTATTAAACATTCCTACCCAATTGATGTTAAGTTATAGGCTGCCGACTTAAATAAGGGATAGTTTATTATTAACAAGTTTTTGAATTTATTATTAACCTTAACTAATATTGAGAAGTTATATAATAATATAATCGTTATTAAGATTGAGACGAAGATTACGAAGACTGAAAATAGTGATGGAGGTGGCGGAAGAAACGGTTAGGATTTAATCCCTTACAATAAATGTAGTAAGAGGATTATTAAAGGTTAGAAGCATTTCCTTTATAGTTATTATCGCGCCCTTGATATTCCCGACTATTGGTAGTATAAACTTAATAAAGCCCCAAATAATTAGAGGAATAAAAAGAAGGTAATCAAGGAGAAGAATAAGGTTGTGGGTTCTGGTACGATTATTGTAATTGCGGGTAATAATTCTAATATTTATAACCTAACTACCGCTATTGCCGTCAATTCTAATTTGTTGTTTGGTTTGGGTGGTTTATCCTTCGACGACGATTTCTTTAAGGATTTTTATTAGAATTCTTAATAAATTTAGAACCGTTTACTTTTAAATATATATAGAGTAGTAATAGCGTTCAATTTAATTTCGTTAAAGTTTAATAAATTCCCGAGGTAATTTCGTTTTTAATACATAAAGATATAGTAATATTTGATAGTAGTTGTATATTAAACATTTTTAACGACGTTAAATAGTTTATAAAATTGTACCCTCCACCGAAGTTTATTACTTATCAAATAGGTAATAGCTAATTATTAAGATCCTATTATATTAGTATAGTCGAATTAAAATTATTAATAATAATAATAGAAGATTATATTTTCGTTAAAATCTAGGATGCGATCTATTCCCTATCGACGCTAGTAAATCTTTTAACGATAATTAGTTTAATTGATAGTAATATAGTTTGGGATATAGTAATAAATAAAATTATATTTAATAAAGGAAAGTACTAGGGATAGTAGGTAAAATATTAATAGGTGAATAAACTTCTAATTTTACTTATTTTGCTACTATAAGAGATCGATTAGAGGTACCGCTATTAAGTATTGAGACTAGTTTAATAGTAACGATAAATTACGATATTATATACCGCCGCTTAATGTATATTGGAAAGGATTAAATTTTGAAAGCTTATAAGGATACTAGAATTAAATTAGCTAATATAGGAAAATATAATGAGTATAATACTTATTTAAAGAGTAAATTAATAGATATTATTTATAAAATTAATAATCCAATAGTAATAAGACTACTAGAATTCGTAAAGGTTAATGTATAGAATTATAACGTTGCGGGCCATATAGGTTATAAATATATGGTTTATTTTATATATATAATTAATAGTTTTTATTAGATTAAAATAATTAGGGAAAAGAGGGAAGGTTTGGTTGCTATTAAGGAATGGAAGAAGTATGTAGAGTTCTAGATTGGTTTAAAGGTAAAGGTTTTGGGCCTTAATAGAAGTATAGAATTTAACTTCGGCTCTAAGGACTTCTAGAATAATTAATTCTATTATAGCTTGGAGTCGAAAGGAAGGCACTAAAATTATAAAAACCCTAATTTATACCCTATAGATAAATGGCGCTCTAGAGAGAGTTAGAAGGGCGATAATAAAGAAGTTAAAGGTAACGATTTTAGAATATAATATCCCTATTGAATTGTAGCCCTTAGTAGTCGATTTAATAGTTAAAGTTATAAACTTACTTCCTACGAAGTCGAATAACGAATATATTGGCCTATATAAAGTTCTAAGTAGGGTAGTAAGTATTTTAAACCCTAAACTAAATATTAAATGCCTTCGAACGTACTATTATACGGCCTACTATTATATTAAAAAAGAAAGATAGGTATAAGAAGATAAATTTGCGGGCCGTTTAAAACGAAGCTGTTTAGTTAATTATAGTAATTTTAATAGAAGGATCCTTATATTTTAGGACTTAGAATTAAAATAATTTGTTAAAGCGAGTGTAATATAATTCTTAGAAACTTTTATAAAAGAGACCCTTGAGGAAGAAGTATTAAATTACAACGTTATCTTTTCAAACCAATCTATCGAATAAATACAGGAGGTATTAAAAAGTGAGAAGAAGGTGTAGATAATAATTATTAATAATATTACTAATCAATACAAGGAATTAAAATTAGTTTAATTAAAGCAAAATTTAATATTTAAAATAATATGGGGTATTATAAAACCCGACCCTATAGTAATTACTCTACCTACGCTATTACTAAGTATTACGCTAGTATTAATTTTTTAAACTTTAATTTCCTTCCCCAATATCCCTATAATACTATTCCTAAGCCTAATAAATTTATTTCTAGGACTAATACCCCATTTTATAAGCCCGATGAATTTATTTGTAGGACCGATTAGTTTACTTATAGGATTGGTTAGTCTACCTATAGGATTAATAAGCGTAGTCGTAGGATTGGAGGATGTATTAATTGAAGAGAATTTAAATATACTTATACCGATAAAAGAAATAATGTAGGAGTTATGGTAATTAATACTACGGGGACTAGTAATATTAAACGAATTTAAGATTTTATAGTTTATTAAATAAAATAAAGAAGAAGGGGATTTATTGTTTCAATCCTTTGACGATAATAAGGATATATTGGAATCGTTTAATAATAGTGAGGATAGGGATTATGATATTAAAGGAAATAATAAGGAGGAATATAAGGAAGATTTACCTTTCGACGAATCGTTTGCAAATTCGTCTTTCATTAACCCTTGCGATTTTAAAAAAAAAAAAAAAAACCTATTCCGTCTCTTTATAATTGATTGCGACGATATTTAATACCCGATCCTTTAATTGGGGGATTAATAGTAGGGGATGATGAAATATCTTCGGACCGAGTTCGAATATCCCCGGAATAAATTTAAACATTTTTAGGGGCGGACGCTTCGATAACGGACCAAACTCAAGTATTTTCGGGGGCGGAAACTACAATAACGGAATAATTCGAAATATCTTTGGAATTAGAAATCCTAATAACGGTACCGGAAACCCTAATAACGGAGTTTAATAGACTATAAAAATAAGTAGTACTAATATTAATAAATATAATTAATAAAATAAGGGTAATTAATAGTAATCGTACAATTTAAAAGGATAAGTATAGTAATTTAGTAATTCCTTCCTTCTATTTTAATTTATAAGAAAGAAGAGTAATTTAATAAAACGTTAAATTGTTATACCCAATGGCGGTTAAAGTAATATACGACTTCGAAGTTTGCCCGGATATTTTTAAAAATTTTAATTAAGTTAGAAAGCGCCTAAATTTCGAAGAATATTAGAAGCCTACTATAAAGAAGTAGGTTCAAGCCCTAGAGGATAGGGGAGTTTACGACCTAGTCCTAATTACCCCGGATATAACAATTTTGCCGGGAAAGTAGGTTTATAATAAAAAAGAAAATTTAGAATTAAGAACGAAGGAAGCTAAAGCAAAATAAGTAGCGTATAGTAATTTCAAATAAGGTTCTTAGGATTCGGAGGAAATCTATATTGCGGTAGTTAATACGATAAACGTTAAAATATTTTTAGCTATTATAGCGGTTCTAAATTTGGATTATTACTAATTTAATTTTAATATTGCGTTTTCAAACGTTTTAATTCCTTTAAATAAAAAATATTACGTTAAATAACTAATAGGATTAGAAAAAGGACTAAGGGAGAAACGAAATAGACGGGGTTACCTATTTCGAAAAGTATTGTATAGTTTTAAAAAGAATCCTCTATACTAATTTTAAATATTTTTAACTATTTTAAAAAATCTCAGTTTTAACCTAATTAGCGACGATACTTATTTATTTAATAATACGAAGCTAGGAGTACTATTAGTATTTTATATCGATAGTTTCTTTATTGCGGTGCTAACGAAGTCAGTTATTTTCGATATTAAGGATTAATTGTTAGTTCATTTTAAATTTAAATACTTGGGAGAAGTGAAGATTTTCTTAGGTTTTAATATCGTAAGGAATAGGAAGGAACAAATAATTTGTATATCCTAAGTTAAATATACGAAATCCCTAATCAAGAAGTTTGGCTATAATAATTTATACGGAATTAATACGCTATAGCCCTAAAATACTAAAATTGGAAATTATAAAATTAGGGACGAATTGCTAAAATAATAGTAGTAGAAAAAGTATATTAAAAAGATTAGTAGTTTAAATTATTTATCGATAAGTATACGGACAATATTACGTTTATAGTTAATAAATTTTGCGAAGTAAATATAAAACCGATAATTAAGTTAATAATAGTTATAAAGTACCTCTATCGATATTTATCAAAAATTACGGATATGGGTATAATTCTAGGCGGAAGGCTCTCGCTATAGGATATAGATTTGAAGGTATTCGGAAATACCTCCTTTATTAACGATCCGGCGATTCGATATAGTATTAGAGGTTATATAGTATTCCTGGCTAGCGGACTAGTATTCTAGAAGTTAAAAAAGTAGGCCTTCGTATTACCGAGTATTATAGAAGTAAAATTTGCTAACCAAATCCCAATTACAAAATCTTTGTAATAGATTACGTATATACTAGAGGAATTGGGCTATACTCAACTACTTTTAAAAATACTATATATAGATAATAAGAATGTTCGAGATAGGGTTTTGAATTATAAAGTGCCGGAAGGAAGAGGTGTATGGATGTTAGGTTTAAATGGATTATTAAGAACGTGGAAGTATAGGAGTTTGATATTATTTATATTAAAGGAGAGGAGATGATTGTAGACGGTTTAATAAAGCTATTGAAGGCGGATAAGTATTCTAGATTTGTTACAATGTTGGGATTGGAGGATAGGAAGGTTCTTTGGGGTGATTGACGGCTTTGAGTTTATTAATACTATAGTTTTATTATTTAATTAATTATAATGGTCCCTACGAACTGTTTCGGGCTACGG